TCAGTGAATGTCCTCCAGGCACCTGAACGCCCACTTGTTCAGGAACCAGAGATCGGGGTTCTCAAACGAAGGGACACAGTGGACAGCCCGCACCAGACGATGCAATGGCACCACCACAAGGCCCCTCCATATGGTGACAGGTGAGAGCATGGTGCAGCCAGTGCAGTCATCATGTCCCACCTCCAGGAAGCTCGTCAGTACGGCCACCTCAGCAGGACCACTCTCCCCATCTGCACCACTCCTCTGCGCCGTGAGCAGGAGGCATAGCTTGCCAAATGCGGCGGCCCCATCATCTCGCTCGTACTCCACACACGAGAAGGCGGGCTGTCCGTGCAGCTCTACGGCAGCCCTTGCATAGCGTGGCTTGATGTGCCCCTCGTCGGTGGGGGCACGCGGTAAGGCCACTCCGTTGTGCACCTGTAGATTGGGGTTGGCGCAAAAGTTATGTGTATGGGGTGGAGAAGCAGAGGGACCAGAGACAAGGGTTGATTTCTTACAATCAATGAGGTCGATTAGTGCACACGGTTTAGGGTGGAAACACGGATTTGCCCGCCACTGTATGAGACCACACGTTTATTACTGCACCCTAATGATGTCTGGACGTGCTCGACGACAGTGATGTTAAGGCAAAGAAGCAAGCCGCACCTGGGGGGGAAAAGGGACCAGGTTCGCCGCGCGCATGACATCCTCATAGAACACCAGGCCTCCTTCCAGGGCCTCGTTGTACTCAGCAAAGATTGAGCTCGCTGCGCCCACGAACTCCTGCGTGAAGCACCTGCTCGCACGTGTCAGCTGCGGGCTCCCGGTTGCGATGGCCTGTGAAAACCGAGGTCGGGAGTGGGTGTCAGTAACTCTACAACCCAGCTGCAAGAGCATAGCCTACCAATGGCGTCCAACACAGTTGTGATAACGCAAAGACCATACCTTCATGATGGCGATCTGGTTGGTGTTGCGTGGAGGAAGGCTGCCAGGCAGCCTCGCCAAGACTGCGGCCGTCGTGTTGTGATCAGCGATCGCCTGCTCCACCTGGCGTCGGTTCGACGCACGGTAAGGCTGCTTGCACGTGCGAATATGCGCATTCTCGTACACCGCTGCAGAGAACTCCCGGGGCATGCCACCTCGCCTGACCGCTTCAGGGAGGTGTGTCATCAGGTGAACCTTCACGAGGTTATACCCCTCGCCCCCGCGCGGAAAAACAGCCTCCATGGTTTGCACCATCCTGGGATGATGGAGCAAGGCATCGGATAAAATGGCACACAACGGAAGACTCAGTTGCACACAACAACAGCCCACACAAGCAGGTGGAAGGGGCAAGCACAGTGCGTACCTTCTCGTTGCCTCTGCAAACTCGTCCAGGCTGTCATCGCTGTGCGAGCCACCCCTGATACACGACTCGTGCCACTGCAGCACGCCAACAATGGCGCGGCGGTTGATCTCAGCCCCCTGTCCCTCCAAAAGGAATGGCACGACCTGTGAATAGGGGGAAGGGGTGTAAACAGATGTGCCTAGCTTGCGCGACTATAGGGTTTAGTATGCCGGGTATATAACAGCAAGAACTCACCATCATCACTGCCGCATGTTCTGTCGCAGTGAAGTTAGCACCAGACGCCCAGTACTAACCAGAAGAGGGCACACGGACTCCAGCGAGTCGCGCACCACGGTGCAGCGTTGACATCCGCCTGAGGACCATGGCAAAACACATCGGCGCTGGCACACGTTAGTCCATGCCAGGGGTAGATGTACGCAGGGTACTGCCATAAACAGCCCACTTACTCGTCCTTCAAGTACGCATCTGTGGTCTCGCCGCGAATGGCAGCACGAAGGTACAGCCACCATCCAAGATAGATGGCGTGCAGAATGTCCGGCATAAGGGACAGGTACGTGTTGCCCCAGGGCGTTCGGCTGAAGTTAAACTCCCAAAGGAAGCTCTGTGTGGGCAAACATAGGACGTACGTCACGCAACGAAGGCATATGGGTAGCAAATTACACCATGAGAGGCAGGAGTGAACATATCTGCTTCATCAGTGCCAAGTGCACTCGATAAACAACACGAGGTCCGGAACGCGACGTGGCAGAGCACTGCCATAGGAGACCTCACCTGAACGCAGTGTGTAGTGTACTCCTTCGCCCGCGCAGGATCGCGGAGCAGGGCCTCCTGCATCTCGACAGAGCGATCTTCGGCCGGAGCTCGCTGCATATCTCGCATGTGCTGCCGGCGTACATAACAGAGCGAGCATGGCCTGCATATCTCGCATGTGCTGCCGGCGTACATAACAGAGCGAGCATGGTATGGTCGATCCCAGCTACTGCGTGCATGTGACCTTGCAGGTCTCGGGATAGTCAGCGACATACGAGAACAGGGTTGGCACGATGAATCGTTCGATGCCACTCGGGTCTGTTGCCGCCAAGCCTCTGCATATGCGCGGAGCCAGAGAGAAGCAGGGTAGGCAACTCTCTAGGTAACGTTATGCTCCCAGGATCAAAGAGGTGTCAATGCGACAAAGATTACATGCACGTGTTGTCACTTATGTGTGGGAGGCCACAATGAGGTCCGCCAGGGCGACCTTCATTGCAGCCTGGAAGATCGCCGTTTTCACAGCCGACGATACGCTTGACGGAGGGAACGGCAGCATGGCAAGCAAAATTCTGCCACTGTCGAGCCAGCGCCTGCGCAGAGCGATGTTGGCAATGGAGAGGTAGACAGCCCACACCTTGGCGTGCTCGTTTCCACTGAGAATCGTTGCGTCGCTTGAAATGATGAGCGGGACCACAACTGTACCCTCCCCGTACTGCTCGGTCACAACGACCTGTGACGATGCACATCAGGGAGTGTAAGTGGTGTATGCCTGAACATGCATCGAATGTGACATGTTAATCTCGGACTCAATACCTGCGCGTTCTCCCAGTACGTCGCCGTATGCGGAGTGGTGTAGATGCGCCCCGCACCCGAGATGTGCTGTTCGGGATACAGAACAAAGCCCTCCGCGTTGTCTGGATGACCGAATAGCTCTAAGACCACCTGTAGCGAGGGACGTGATCAAACAGAGCGGCACAGATACGCTCAAGCTCGTCGATTAAAATCACAGTGTTGTGCCATGTCAAGCTGCATGTAAACCTTATCCGAGATAGATGAACACTAACCTCCTTGCCGTTCGCGCACATAACCTCAAAAGTGATGGGGCAGCCTGGAACCTGGAAGGTCTTGCAGGTGTATTCCCTTCGCTGCATCATCAGCGACAGCCCATACTGCGTCACCGCGTAAAGCGATCGCCATGCATGCAACAGCGAAAGGTTCAGCCGCTCCTGCCTAAGTAAGTTAAGAAGCCACACGGTACTCTCGTTCGACAGGCCGGCGCCATTGTTGCAGCCGACGATAAACCTATACACCTCGAGCAGCGTGTCGAAGTTGTCGACCGTCCCGTCGACGTTATCCGCATCGCCACTAGTTCCAACGGTGTCACACTCTTCTTCAGCAGGGTCGCCGCCACCTTCGTTATCGATGTCTGTCTGCGGCTCATCTTCGATCGAAGGCTCCTGTCACACGGCAACTCCATAAGGATTCAGCAAACAACGTATTACAAATAAAAGATCGTGAGCTTCCATGTGTTGAGTACTACGCACCGTAGGGGCATCGCCCGTTTGCTCCGCATGCGGCGCGTCGTCAACATCATTAACTTCCTCTCCGTCCGAATTGAGATCAGGCAGTGATACATTGTCCGCCTGTGCGTTACCAAGAACAGCAAGGTAGTTGCGATTGAAGCGTGATCGTAACCGCAGGCACATACGATTGCGTTGCTTGTGGGCGAACAATGCCGAGCGCGAACGAAAGTGCGTGAGGCACCATTCACAGGCGAATAGGGCAACCTGGGGTGCTATCGTACAGCCAGAAACTGTACAGCGAAAACGGGCGAAGCCAATCTTCACCGTGGTGGTATACTGATTGTATACTCTGAACTTATACACAATTTTATACGTCTGGTACTCAGCATTGCTCGCACTCTTGAAGCGAGCACGCTGTACGGGGATGCGAGCAGTTCCCGTCACAAGTCAGGCATATGGGGTGCAGCCCCGGTTCATTATTGGTTGCATTATTAGTCGTCGCTGCCACGTAAACACTAATCCACGACGAATCAGTACTGTCCGCGACGAATCTTCTGCATGTGGAACGTACATTTTCTGCGACCATTGGACGATAAAGTGTTGCCGGAAAACGATTTGCAGCAGTCCATGTCAAACATACTAGCAGACGGGCCTAGGCTTAGTAGCCTAGGCCGTGCTAAGACTAGGAAGGAGGCGCCAAGTAGGATCGAGAGTTGTGTGCACGAACAGAATTGAGAAAAGGAATGATTGGACTAGCAAGCAGCAGGATACAAATAGCAAACCCTAAGGGGGTTGTACTCACTATTGAGTACCCCACTGCAGGCTACACAAATAACATACTCTGATAGTCCAATCGGAACGGGCTATGTCTCGTAGAACATTATGTGCCCGTATGTTGACGGGAAAAGATTCGTCACCACATGACTGTCCTATCGGAAAGCGGTAACTCTATTACACAATTGGACGAAAAAATGTTGAGCCGAAACTGATTCGTCCAGAAACAGCCATCCAAGCCGGTAGTCTGTTGTGCGTGTGAGGATTGACTGACATTGAACGGAATTACACGTCACCCTGACAGAGAGTGGTGGAAGATCCAACCCTAGGTTACGGATGATTGAACACTGGGCGGGTCTTTAACAGTGTGGTGCGTCATGGGTTTAGGGGGATGCGTGTTTATGGTCCTAACAGTTACGCTGTGTTTTAAAATATACCCTGCTACCGAAGAACTCAATGTCGAGTCGGATGCTCATCTTTCCGCGCCCCGCATGCGCGACATTCATTTCAGGGGTGTTGTTGTAGTTCACCACTTACTGACCACTTTGCCTCACCTGCTATCTTGATCTTACCGCTTCATAGAATGGTGAATACCAGTCCCGCCCTCGCAGCGCTTCTTGCCAGGCCTGCTGTCTGGCGCAGCAGGCACGACCCCGTAGACCATAGTCGTTCATCTTTCTATCGTGGACCCACTTGGCCGAAACTTCGCACGGCTTTGTCACGCCCGCCATCGGCTTCCGTGCTTGTCCGGGATTTCCCTGATATCTCATCGGTGCTAATGCAAGCCGAGTACAGCCGGGTGTTGGCACGCAGCGGAACTCCAACCCCCAAGATGTTGTACGACTCGGTCGCGCATCTTGTGCCTGAGCGCCACGCTAGCGCTGGAACGCAGCGCCGCCTCGCCATTGCCAGGCTCCGAGCGTCGCGATGCATGTCGACGAACGCGCCACTGTCGTTCCTGGACCATGGATGCATCAACGCCGTCATCAAAGATTCTCGTGACGGCCCCGGTTTCAACGAGGCGGTAACGCAGTTTGTCGCAATCGTTAACCACGGGTACAAAAAAATCAACTATGAGGCGACCAGTCTTGCGGATATGCGGTCCAAGATTGCGCCCCTGCAAGATTACCGTTTATTTCTGGCGCGCTTTGCCATGAGCAAGGGCTGGGAGGTGAGTGCTCATATTCACGCTCAACGTGTTGTATAATATCAACGAACCCCACATCGGTAACACTTTCGGGCGCGGTTACATTTTGCAGGTACAAGATGGGCGATTCAATTTTTTCCGCGCGGAGGATGCGCGCAAAGAGTTTGCAGAATTTAATATCCAACAGCCGCGCCTTTACCCATACCGTCAGTTCAGCCACGTTGGCGGCGTTGACGGCATGCCTGCTGGCGTTCTCGCACACTCTCTAGGCATGCTTGCATGGTGGGAGATTCCCCCGCACAACATGGCCTTCTGGTTTTCTAACATGGGGAAACACATGTGCGTGTACCCTTGGGAAGTTCCTCCGGGCCATGATACCCCTCCGCTATTCCGCCTCGTATACCAAGACTACGACCTCAATAGGCCGGACGACTATCACTCGGAGTTCGACCTCAGGCTGTGACTGGTTCTACATTCTGCGCATCTTGTTATATTGTGTGTAATTATTTGGAGCGGTTGCTTTGTTGACGTAGGGAAATGATGTTAATGTGACGGTTAATTCTACAATTCGCATGCATAGAGCAGGAAGAATAATACAATCGGTGACATAAACATTCATGGCCCAAATTCACCGTGTCTTACGCGAGCCCGTTGTTGAGGCGCCATGTTGACCGCCTACAAACCGAACACATCAAAACATAGGGGTAAAAGCGTTCGAGCCGCGTCGATAACGGAGGGGTTCCACGTCAATAGCACACTGTTGTAGCGACCAATCAGGATATTTTCTCCTCTGGTTTAGCATCCAAACACAGCAGACAGCGAGAAAAACCGCCTATCACAACCTACGCACGAGTGTCGAGGCGAAGGGGTACTAATATTCGGCGCATAATATCAAGCGTTGGCGTGGACACGTCACGTCCACGTCGGATGCGGGTTACAGCGTAGACTAGCCTGGATACCTGATTGGTCGACCGTTTCTTGCGTTGTAGCTACTGCACTTTACACCTGTACGTCGGAGCAGGGGTTGGATTTGATGTATGCTCTACCAGAGTTAACATGCGTTGGCATACATTAAGGCCAGGTTGCAATGCAAGAGACACATTGCACAACTTTAAATCATATCGCGTGAATATATTCCGCTAACTATGGACGCCGTTCTGGGCGACGTAACGCTGGTATGCGCAATGATGACGACGACATGGTTTACTACGGTACCACACGCCCCACTACGAGCAGTGGCCGCCCTGGTCGTGCGCCATCACCTGGCGACGACACGGAGCAGACCACACCGCCGCCTGCCGATACGGAGTACCTTGCGTGGGCGGACCGCGTGGACGTGGAGGACGCACCGGAGGAGGACGCGAGTGACAATCCGCCGGATCTCGTTGACGACTAGGCCGAAGGTAGTATGCAGGGCACTGTCCCATACAAGCGATTGTTGGTCGCTGTTTCGGCGGAAGCAATTACAGGGCGCTTGTGTAAGGTGTGTGAGCTAACTACCCCCAGCGTGTCTGTGATGGCATTTGTTTTACGCTTGCAGAGGCCCGAGCATCTCAACGTTCACTTACCGATGTCAGCTTCAACGCACCGATGCCAACTTCAAGTATCGTGCGCGCTGGTGGTTGCGGACCCGCGCTTGCACCACCGGCTGCTAATACGACACCTCGCCCGGCCAATGTCCAGACACCTGTAGACGCGGCAATGGCGGCTCGCGTGGAGCAGCAGGAACGGCGAATTATGGAGCTGAACTCGACCATCAGTCGCCTGGAAGGCATTCGTGCAGGTCACGCGGCGCCGGCTAGACCGAATGCGACCACTAGTACCACGCCGCGCACGCCGCGCCGTGGCGACAGGAGCCCCGAGCACCACTCCTCGGCACGTCAGCGCCTGAACCAGGCAGGCACGCACGCCAGCAATGCCGACATGACTACAAACGAACCACACTTGCCCATGGTTACAGACGCACTCGCTCGTGAGATGCGTATCTCAGGGACAACTGGACGCGTGCCAACGGGGCTGCGCTATTGGGCCGACCGACTGGAGGTGGCAAACAAGCTCGTGCCCACCCTGGACAAAGGCTTCAAGGTTCGTATTCAGTGACCTTTGCCAGCCGCTAACCGTATTGTAGTATGAGTGTCCGACTAACGATCATTCTATGGCATTTGCTCGTCAGGGTGTCGTCGAGGACGCTATCATCATTTTGGCGTACGACACCCCCGTTAACGACATGAACTTCTGGGTGCCACCGGGTCTTGCCGAGCGGATCGTCGGTCGCGCTCTCCGCCTGCGGACAGCGGACTAGCTCTCCTTGCTTCATATGGTCTGGAGCAACGACCCGAAGCGCACCGGCTGGTTGACGCTGTCAAACTTATATGCTATAGTCTGTGTAGGCTGTAGTGGGGTAGTTCATATAGGGTACAACACTTTTAGGTTTCCCACTTGTACCCACCTGTTTGCTAGTTCAGTCATTCGTTCCTTCACTATTTTGACATGGTATTCTGAGCAGGTTCCCTCGTGGGAACGTTTTTTAGGGCCCACCACGATTAAAAAAAAAATCCTGCCCTGCCCAAAGCGTGCCTAGCGCCTGCCTCACCTGCGCCGTCGCGCGCCCTGCCCTACTGCCGCCCGTAGCGGCACTGCGCTAACGGCCCGTCGCGGCCCTGCCCTAGCCGCCCGTCGCGGCCCTGCCCTACGCGCGCGCTCACGCGCCCGCCTTAGTCGCGCAGTTGCACGCCTGCCCTACCTGCAGCCGCCGTCGCGCGCCTGCCCTGCCCTGCTGCCCGTCGCGGCCCTACTCTACACGCCCGTTGCGGCCCTGCCTAACCCGCCCGTCGCGGATCTGCCCGACCCGCCAGTCGCGGCCCTGCCCTACCAGCTGTAGCGGCCCTGCCCTGCCCGCCCGTCGAGCGCCTGCAGCCGCCAGTCGAGCGCCTGCCCTACCCGCGCCAGTCGCGCGCCTGCCCTACACGCCGCCGGTGGCACCTGCCCTACCCTCCCCTGGTGAGCACCTGCCCTACCCGCGCTGCCCAGCACCGTCGAGCAACGTTTTAGGGTTTGCCTGAGTTCACTTCCGGCACGCCTGAGCTCGCTTACCGCACACCTGAGTTCGCTTCCGGCGCGCTTGAGCTCGCTTACCGCACACCTGAGTTCGCTTCCGGCAGGCCTGATCTCGCTTACCGCACACCTGAGTTCGCTTCCGGCACGCTTGAGCTCGTTTACCGCACACCTGGGTTCGCTTTCAGCACGCCTGAACTCGCTTACC